TTTTTAAAACTTCTCATTATGGAATGTTTCAACATACAAAGTAGGCACAGTGGAAGATGAATTTCTGTGTACTCATCCCCACCATCAACAAACAGTCAGCAACTCACAGCTGATTCTGTTGCATCAACATCCTCTCCCACCTCCCTCTTCCCATATTACTATAAAGCAAAGATTGTTTTTGCTCCTTTTCCTTCTCCTCCTTTATTTCCCCCCTCTCCTCCTTCTCTTCCTTTTTTTACCTTTCCAAATACGTAGAAATATTCTTAAAATTCTTTAAAAATGCAATCATTAGTGCCAAGAAATATAAGTTAGTAGTTTAGACTAAAGTTCTGTTGTATTGTTGTGTGAATGACTTATTCTCTGACATAACATATTTTATTTCTCAAGATTTTCATATGATGGTGACCAACTACATTGCAAAACAGTGGTCACCTTCCAGAGTTGTAACTAGTTCTGGAGGCTTAGTTACACAATTGCCAACTCCGTCATCTTCTACGGGGATGTGACCTTATAGACGAGTAAAGAGTGAAGCATGACAGATGATTTTTGAATTTTTGTTTTTTATCATGTAATAGCCCTCAAGCTTTTGACCTCTTGCTAGGCAGCGTAGACTTTTGGAATACTGTACAGCTATAATAAACTCTGCTTTAAGACTATAGCCCAGGGTTGTAACATGTAACTCAGAAATCAGAATCCACTTTAATTTATGCATTCTTGAAATATTTTTCCAGAATAAAATGAATATAAATGCCCATTTATTTAAAAATATTTCAAGCCTTACGTGTACTAATACAAGGAGGTTGCCCCATTCCCAAGTTGGGAGAGTTGTAGCAGAGAGATGGAGGAGGTGAAACTCATATGATAAGAGTGTCATGATTCCAAAAATGTTGTGGATCACAGATCTAGGTCGATTTCTAGATGTCAAGGACATCAACATTCCACCAGTCTACCCTGCTGGAAACCTAGAAATCTTCATCTTTTCCCCTTTCATTTCCTACACCCCAAAAATAGATCTTATTGATTATTTAGAAAAGTCTCTTGGCTTTGTCTTTTCTCTTCCCATGACCAGAGTATCAGTCCTGATCTTTATCAGCACACATCTGGACTGTAATATCAGTTAAGGAGAAGTGCACTAATAATGTTTTGACCATGCCCTTTTATATACATTTAATCCGTACAACAATCTTGGACAGGTATGCGCATTTTTCAGATTGTGAACACTGGGCAAGCTCTTTCTATTATATTGCTAAGAAATCTCCTTACTTTGAGTCTTTCTTCCCCTGTAATGCATTCTGTACAAGATTACCGTCATAATCTCCCTAAAATGCAACTTTTAATATAACTTAGTTAATAAAACCTATAATTACTGATCTAGCTCTTTACAAATTAGCAAAGATTCTTCACATTAGATCTCATTCTGCACAAACTACTCAATGAGGTTAATATCATCTCATATTATTACCTTGTAAAGTGACCTATAATGACTTCTATTTTCCATCAGACCAATGATAAGCCCTTAATGTTGATGACATCCCACGTTATATGCTGTGGCTCTAATATGTCCATTTAATCATCTCTCTCAGTGTCAGCTGCAGTTAGCTTTAGCCAGGTGAACTTTCTCCTTAGGTACCATTCTCCTTTCTTTCCTAATGTTTGCTCAAAACACAACTCTTGTCCTCCTCACCCAACTCTGTCCTCTTTCAACACTACCAATCCTACATGGTCCAAAGGTAGAAAAGGTCCTACCTTTTTGAAGAAGCCTTTCCCAGTAATTTCTGTCTTCCCATCTATTTTTTCTTCTTGATTTTTTTTGATCATATATGTTTGCCCTTGCATGCAATTAAAATATTTTTTCCTAATTTTAAAATGCTTCACGTAAAAATATTATATGGGATATTTGAAAGTGAGAAGATAGCTCCTCTAGCCTCACAGTCTCAGTCTGTAGAAGTAACCACTGTTACGTGTCTTTACGGTCATCCTCTGCATAAGCAGGGATACGCATGGCCATGTATACACACACCTCTGCTTACACACATAGGAGGTGTAGATATAGACATAGTACCTATACGTACACCGTTCTGTTACTTTCTCTTTTTACTTGACAGTGTATCTTGGAAATCTTTCTATGCCATTGAATATAAGTGATTGCATTTAAACATATCTCTTTTCCCTCACATTGTTTCAAGTCAAATTGTTTTATGCATATAGAACTTATCTTCCTTCAAAAAAATAGAATGGGAACTCCTCAAGGGCAAGAATAATTACATATTCATTCTCTATTACATTCCTTTATTCTTTCGCATTTATTGCGTATTTCACCATTTGTGCTGTGGGAAATTGAAGATGTTTGCTGCTCATAAACCCTAAGAAGTTAGGATCTAGTAGGCGAGCATCCACTTTCTACATGTCACTGTAACGCAGGGAAGAAATGGAGAAGTGACACAGATTCTCTTCTTGGAAACGTGGCCAAATAGGTTATTTGAACAATCCTCTTGCTGAAAATAATTCGAACAGTTGAGTGTGTGTAAGAAAACATCCTCAGAGCAGCAAAGGGCAAAAAAGATAAGGAATTAAAGGCCAAAATCTAGGAGAAGTGAGACCTCAGAGAGGTTTAGAGAACTGAAGCTACTTTTGCCCCCAGAGCATTTGCTAAACCAGGCAAATTTGAACTTTCCCTGCCTCATCGATGGTAAAACTCTGCAGAAGGTCAGGAAAGGATTAACATAAAATTCTGAATAATGATTTGGGGGGGTGGGTTCAAGGAGTTTCTGGGGTACTCAATTTTCTATTTATTAACCTAGTGGTAGCTATACAGAGTGATTTATTTTCTAAGCTGAGCTTATTTATTTTGTACACTTTTCTATTTACATGGTAAAATTTACAACAAAGAACTAAATGTAAAAGAACGAGTTATAAGGCAGTTTGTATAGTGTGATCCCACGTGTGTGTGTTACATAAATGCATGTGTGCATGTGTATTACATAAATGGATGTGTGCATGTGTGTGTTACATAAATGGATGTGTGCATGTGTGTTACATAAATGGATGTGTGCATGTGTGTGTTACATAAATGGATTGTGCATATGTGTGTTACATAAATGCGCGTGTGCATGTGTGTTACATAAATGCACGTGTGCATTACATAAATGCACGTGTGCATGTGTGTGGTACATAAATGGATGTGTGCATGTGTGTGTGTTACATAAATGGGGTGTCAAATAAATTTGATGTGATAAATACAGAAATTTATGTTTACATACATTTATAAATATGTATGTGTTGGTGATGCAAAAGTTTATGTGTGTTTGTTTCATATACATAGAAAAAGGTCTGGAAGTGGATTCACTAAACTCCTGAGGGCAACCGTAGGAGAGAGAACAGGGATGGGAAAGGAGCAAGGGAGGAAATTATACTTTGTGCTTCATACTGTAGTTAAATTTTTTAAATAATCGTCATCATTGTTGTTTAGTATTTTTTAAAAAACAGGTTTTAAAAAAGATATGGCTTCTGTCTCAGCCCATGGATATAAAAGCACCAACTCCATCATGCTCCATACCACTTGGCACAATACCTTTTTTAAAAAAAGTGTCTTGGTCCTTTGCTGGACTGTAAGCTCTTAAAAGGAACAAGACTGTGTAATGTTTTTCTTTAGATCTCTTGTACCTAGTAAATCTTATACATAGTACACAGTCTGTAAATACTAGTGTACGTACCTTAATGTATGTACCTTAATGAGTAAATGTACCTTAAGAACAGAGGGCTATAGGCATCCAGTAGATATAACATTTCCTTAGAGGCTCTTGTTATACTTTTGAATATTATTTTGGACCTGGCACAGCAGTGGGCATAAAGTTGGCATAATGACTACAAGTTGATTTGAATTTAACCTACACTTTGTGGAATCTGTAGGCAAATGTGGAGTCCGCCATGTGGTGTCCCTCTTGATCCTGACAACAGGGAAATGAAAATACTCTTTGAAAATTAAACTAAGAAATGAACAGCTAATAGATTAAAGCCAAGAGAGGCAACAAGATTTTAAGAGACATAAAGATTCCTTGGGCAGTGAGATTTGACTATAACCTAATTGAGGATATTGACATCTTAAAAACACACATATAACCTCCATCAGAAGAGCATTTTCTCTGTCTCTAAAACAGAGAAAAAGAAAAGCTATTACTGTAATTGTTATGACACCTAACAAAGCACTGCCTGACCAATAGCACCTGCCAGGTTGAGGAAAGCATCCAGCTTGCCTGGAAGAAGGAAAACCCTGTTTTCGAGAGCTGCAGAGCCTCATGCCATTTTGCACTGGAATCCTGCGTGATTAACTCCACTTGCTCTGCTTCCACGCACACCACGCTTCCCTCTGGTAATTTGCCTTCCCAGGGAGACAGTTCACTATCAGGGTGATACAGACGTTCAATATGCCTGACCCTTCTGCTGTTCATTATAAATAATAAAGTCGCCTTTTTCTTTTTTTCATACATTACTGTCTTGTGAGTTTTGTTAGCGTGAGTCTGCTTTCTGGGTCCAGTCAATGAGATTGGTATCAGAGTCTGCAAGGCTCATCAAGGTAAATGCTACCTTGTGGGCATCTGTTGGAGCGGACTGCTGGATTCCCAGGTGATGCCCATCCGTATGGTCATGCTCCATGTTTCCTTTCCATTCCACACTTCACCAGAATAATTTTTCCAGAAGTAATATGTTAGGAACATCTTAATAACATGCACATTTCAGTTAGAGAGTACCAAATAATATTACCTCAGTGACTGTAGACCCTTTTCTTCTGGGTGAGTACTATTTGTTTGGTTTTGCACATTTCACACCATATGGGTGAATGGAACATATATTGTAGATGCCACATCGTGAGGACCTCCGACAACTCATTTCCAGTTCTGGCTTCACAGCCTCTTCTGGCTTCACTTCTGGCTCTCATCTCATTGTCAACATCAGTCTGGCATCATACTCAAGTCACTTCCTAACCTGGGTCTCTCTTGCAGCAGTGAAACCTAAAGAAGATGGAGGACACAATGAGTTGGACAAGATTAAGGATAAGGATGGAAGTAGAGCAGGCAATGAACGAGGTTATAGAATTTTTTTCTTCCATTCTCGTCTTTCTCTCTTTCCTCAAAACAGTCCCCGTAGCATGTAAAAGGCTTTCAAGTCCCATACACTGCTACGGGAAAAATAAAGCACAAGTTCTCAGTGACATACTCTGCTTGTCTGTGAGTATAATGGAACTTAAACCAGATTTCAATAAATCGTTAACAGCAATTTCTTGCCAAAAAGGATATCAGAGTAAATAACAAGGCAAAACCCATTACAACTTTTAAGTGAATCCTGGAATTTTGCTTTTTAATTGACTGTTGGCATCAAATAAGTACACTTTTAGGTGGGACTTTATTAAAAAGCAATTTTTCCCTTTTCTCTCCTATTCCTCCCCTTTCACCCCAACTTCCAGACAAAATAACTGATCACTAAATTGCACCGTAAATCTATCAGGAATTTGCCCAGAGCAATCCTCAGTTGTTGCTATGATTTAAAATAACTTATCTTTAATTAGTAGATTAAGACTTCACAAAAATTTCAGATAGGATAGGTAAATAGAAAATCTTGAAAAGACTTATTTTTTACAAACTTGGTTCTTAAAAACTGTCATTTTAACAGTCAGAGAGTTATTCATTTGTACAAGTGGAGTTCTGCAGCAAAATATGACACTGTTGGATTATTAGTGCATATAATAAATTTGTGAGGCTCCTATCCCCATACGTCACTGCAGAGCTGTTCTTGTGTATTAATGTTAAGTGATACAGGCCTGAATTGCTATATGGGTAGTTATGGACCATTCCTGATTTAGATGCTGATTAACCAGTCACTGAATTCTTCAGGCTTTTTGATCATACTCACCATCCTCTGGTTTTCATTTTCTTTGGATGAAAGATGATGCTAATGAGGAGAGGGTCCATTTTTCATCCCCATGTGAGCAAGGTTTGTTCCACAGAGACGTCTTTGATGTAAGATCAGTAGCTACACTGTGGACTCTACGGTAATCGAGGTTAGGCTACGGAGCACCAAAGCACTCAAAATCAAGCCTATTGCCACTTCTGAAGTACTTATGCTACCTTCGTGGATTAGTAACAGCATCCTGTGATACAAAAGTTAGCATTTTCTAAAGCAAACCAGGCATTATAGTATGTTACGTACCGATACGAGAAATTCCCAAAGAGGAAAAAGAAAAATCACATTCCTTTCTTTCATTACGTGTTTAACTAACGGGCAGAGGATGAATATGGTCAACATGTATTTAAAAAACACCTAGAACTCTCAAAACTACCGATATTTTTCAGAACTTACATACATTTTCTCATTTTACCAAAGTGCATGATACATTGTCAAGATTCCTACAATTAGGGAAGTAGGTAAACTGTGCTCTAAATAAAGGCAAAGAAGTGAAATGAACAGAGAAAGATGGTCATTTGAGAAGTAATGATTATCCTCTACCTGTCCCTCCCTTCTTATAAGCCCAGACCACTGCCTTCTTTTTTCTTTTTCTCTTTCCTTCTCTTGAAGGCCAGAGTCTAGACAGGGATTCACTGGACAGAACTGGAAAGACAACTCAACTGGTGGAACAGAACGAACCTAAAGTTGGGCAGCATTAGAGCAAGCTGAAGTTTGTAATGTTCAAAACTGTATAGCTCTCTTCAGACATTGACGTCTTTTGTAATGAAGCCAACCTTTTGTGCACTGAACGCATAAGGACTCTCTATAAAATGGCAGAGTGGGCAGAACTTCCTTTTCTCTCTCTGTTCTGCCTTTCTGACTTCTTTTTCTGGCCTCATCTGTTTTTCTTTAGTCCTCCTGCAGCCCTCTATCTTCTCTGATTCTAGTCCCTTTTCAGGAAAAGTTTTATCATGACATCAATCCCTGTGTGTGTCTGTGTGTTGTGTGTATGTATCTACATTTTGGTTTTGTTAGTTTGTAATACACTTTAGAATATTCGTTTCTAACCAAACAAACTCCAACAGTAATATTTAAAAAATTTTTAGGATTATTGACTCTTTAGACAGTCTGAAAATTGCCTTCGAAAAATGTATGTATTTGTAAAATGTTGGGGCCAATTTCATGGTGTTTATGCACTCTTAGTACCTACTTGGAGATCCCAACTGGGTTCAGAATCCCTGACCCATGATAGGATTCCAAGGTTATCCACTTCCATGGTCACTCGTGATGTTTGAAAATATATTCATTCACCAGATACTCATGGAATGGCTACTCCATGCCAGGAACTGTGCAGGGCACTGAGATACAGTGAAAAGGACACTGGCCGGCCCATCGAAATTTACAACATGAGGAGACAGACACATAAACAGGCAATTACAATACAGAATAAATGCAATAGTAGAAGAAGTACAGGTTCTTTGGGGGAGCGCATAAAATGAGTGTTTTAATTCAGCTTTGGGCATCACCAATGATGCCTGAGTTGTTCTCCCAAGTAGAAAGAATGCTATGTACAAAATCAAGAGAGTTATAGACGTGTACATCATGTTAAGAAGTTTGGATTTGATTTTAAAGGGTCTTAAGTTGAGGGATGATAAGAACTGATCTGCAACTGAAAGAGATAACTGATTGTAGCTTTGAGAATAGGTTGGGGGAAGCAGGAATGGAGGCGAGTTATTTTAACTAAAATACTACCAGTGTAGATGAAAAGAAGAGGAGGAGTTGAAAGGATATGAATTGGAAACCCCAGAATTTAGTGATTGACTGAATTCATTCCTTCAACAAATATTTGTTGTGTTGCTATGTGTTAGACACTCTGTTAGATGTGGTGCTGAACTGAAGAGACACCAACTCTGTCCTCAAGCCTAGTGGTGATGCCTTCCAGGCTTCTGGAGTAGACAGCTCTTTGGATGATGGTGCTGTCTACCAGAGATGGAACAGGCAGGTGTCTCAGCCCAAAGGTCCCTGGGCAGGAGAAGTACTTCTTCAAGCTATACATGCCTCTCCTGAGATTTCTAGATGTCCTTGTAGTTGAAAATCACTGTGTCTAAATGAGAGATGTTACTGATGGGGGAATGTTGCTATATAAACAATATTCGGGGAGGAGCTTGGTAACCATTGATATAGACGACAATTGGAGCCAGAAAGTGGATGAAATTACCCAGGAAGAGTACGTAGAATGAGAGGAAAGGAGGGTTAAGGATTGGATCTGGCAAAGCCATGGAGGAAGACGAGGAACCTGAGGAGAAAGCCAGGAGTGTGTAAAGAATGGAGAGCACTTTCCAAGATGGAACCAGTGGAATGGAAAGGAAGATGAGCAGTATAGCAGCAACAGTCGGCTTCAGGAGATACTGGATAGGCCTCCTGGTTTAAGATGATAACCTGAGCTTACATATTAAAGTTCACACGTTCACCACCACCATGGCTAAAGGGAATCATGAATCATCACACAGAAGGGCTCAGGGGTGGCCAGCAAAAAATAATGAAGAAATTTTATGCTCTGTGAATTACGTCTCAATAAACCTGTTATTAAATAAAAAGAATAGTGATGAAAAATTTGCTCTTAATGTATTCTAACAAAATTGTTATATTTGAAAAATAAACTATAAGCATCCACATGTTTGAGGGTGGGGTAGGGTGGAGTGAAGGAGAAGTTGTTATCCACAAAAGGAGGAGAATAAGTTTGTATCCTGTTGCCTGGTAGCACTACATGCGAAAAGCAATGGAGCAGGCAGCACATTAGACATTAGAGGGAAAAGAAAGGATTGTTATTCAGTTTACAACCAGCTGAGGCATCTTTTCTTGAAAGGACAACAAAAAGATCATCTTGACATTGAAAGACTCACAAAATATCCCACTCATTACTTGCTCTGAAAAATAAATTATGCAAAGTCATGCTAGAGCCAAACAAGTAATTAGTAAGAATAAAGAATCCGAGAAGGGAAAGAAATTACAGTGGAGTAGTTTTTAAAGTAGTATGGAATTAATTGTGAATAACAGTTGTTAATATAGTAGTAAGTCATAATGCTAGTGATAAATGATTCCTCAAGAAAGAATAATGTAAGAGATTAATGATAATGGAGATCTGCAATTTTAAAGTGTTTCAACAATTTGGCAGGCAGAAAGAAGAGGGAAGAGTGCAAGGAGACTCAAAAAAGTGCTGTTTTGTTACTGACATCAATAAAGACATACAGGAGAAAGTAAGTTTAAAGTTCAGCAGTACCAGAGTAGAAATAGGATGAAGAGCTTCCTAATCAGTATGGCTAAGTGAGCGGGGAAAGGAGAAAACATTTTGGAAGCATAAAAACAATATAGTTTAAAATTAAAACTAAACATTCATTACCACACAGTGAGTACTCTATTCTGTTAAAAGACAAGGATTCAAATTGATTTTTTTAAATCTAACCATAACGTGATCCAGAGGTACTCCTTAAAAAAAGAATAATAAGATGTATATAACCACAAATGCAAAGGGAATTTTTTAAAAATATGTTTGAGGGTCAGTTTGGTTGCATAGTGGTTGAGTTCACATGCTCTGCTTCGGCAGCCGAGGTTTACGGGTTTGGATCCCGGGTGTGGACCTACACATCACTCATCAAGCCATGCTGTGGCGGCATCTCATATACAAAGTAGGGGAGGATTGGCACAGATGTTAGCTCAGGGACAGTCTTCCTCACCGAAAAAAAAAGATAGATATGTGTGTGTGTGTGTGTGTATGTGTGTGTGTGTATATATATATATATATAGATATGTATTTGAGAAGAATAATAATATTTTTAACCCTATGACAATAAATTTAATCTGCAAAATGAATAACCAAAAATAAATTTGAATAAAATAACCAAAGTTGACTCAAAATGACTAAAACTGTGAATGATGTTGACAAAAATAAGATTAAAGAAAGATTTCTTCCTTGCCAAAAGTACAAATTCTAGACATATTTATCATTAAGTTCTGTCAAATCTTAAAAGAACAGATATTTTCTGTGCTATCTAATCTATTTGAAAGCATGGAAAATTTCCCAGTTTATTTTATGAAGCTAGGATGACTGTGACCAAATTCTGTTTTTTCTTTTTCTTTCTTTCTT